GTTTGGAATCAGTCAGTCCTCCATTGCTCGTCTACAACTGGTCCAAAATGCTGCAGCCCGATTTTTAACTGGTACAGGCTATAGAGAGCACATCACGCCAGTTTTGGCCTCCCTGCACTGGCTACCCATTCACCTTCGGATCCATTTCAAAATTCTCATGTATGTTTTTAAATCACTGAACAGTTCCGCCCCATCCTATCTCACTGATCTTCTGCAGCCATATGTCCCACCGCGCTCTCTGAGGTCAGCAGACCAGATGCTTCTCTCAGTCCCAGAAACCCGTCGTAAGCTCAGGGGTGACAGGGCTTTCTCTGTTGCAGGTCCACGACTGTGGAATGAGTTGCCACTGAGTGTCCGGCAGGCTCCCACACTCTCAGTCTTTAAGTCTCGCTTGAAGACCCACTTCTATTCGCTTGCCTTTAACACGGTGTGATTTGTTTTGGTCCGGTCTGTTCTCTACTCTGTTGGCCATTTTAGTTAGCTTCTGCTGCTATTTGTATCTGTATTTCTATTTTATGTTTTCCTGTCTGCTGTGCATGTTTGGTTCTTTTGTACAGCACTTTGGTTGGCCTTGTTGCTGTTTTAAGTGCTATATAAATAAATTGGTATGGTATACTTATGTATATGTATACTGTATATATATATATATGTTCAAGCAGATCTCCATTACATTGCAGCTTACATTAAAATAAAAATGTCCATCAAGTGTTTTACAGGAGGTGCAGCTCAGTCGTGCACGTGGAGGTGAACAGTCGTGCACGTGCAGGTGAACATAAAGCCTTTGTTTTTAGTTCAAGACTTTTACTCTGCTGTCAGACGGTTTGAAGCCGTGTGGACCTGATGATCGCACAGCTCACAGGTTACCATGAAAGCAGAAGCTGCTGTTTCTCATGAACTTGTTTCTGATGAGCAGCTCCACAGGTGCACGTGATGCACGTCCTCACCTGAGCTTTCTGCAGCAGAGCCACGTCTCCTGCTTCACTGGCTTCTTTACAGCTCTGCAGGAAGAACTCACAGGCCTTCAGATGCTGGTTCTACAGGAGGAGAGACGGTAAGTTGGGTGAGAACCGTCAGAACCGGTCCGTTGACCGTCAGTGTGTGGTACCATGCTGTAGTAAACGTTGCCCAGGTACAAACAGACGTCGGACAGTTTGTCGTGCAGTCTGCTGCCGCGACAGATGTCAGCTGACGTCTCCAGGAAGCCGAGCATCTCGTCCATGTTCCCCTCGCTGTCAAACATGAGAAGAACGCTGACGA